AAAAAAAAAAAAAATAATAATAATAAAGAAAACGGATAGTTTCCAGCCGTTTCTCATGCTACCCTTCTTTTTTCTTTTTTATTCTTTTTTTTCTTGACCCATTCCCAAAACTATTACACCCATAATATTAAAAGAAAATCATCTGATCAATCCTCACTTTATAAACTCAAAAAAAAACCCAAATAAAGAAAACAAAAAAAAACCAACAAAACTGTGAAGAAATCCCATATTATTCATATGCAATAACACTAATTAATCCTCCCTACTACATATGACTAGAGAGGAATTTTTAAAGAGAAACCATTATTACCAACCTGCAAGAGAAGGATAATCTGCCAATCGAAGTAGTGGTCGTCTCACAGGATCTCCCATTGCGGCATTAATGGCTTTATGGGCTTCTGCTCCTGCGATGAGATCTTTCTCAATAGCAACAGCATTACAACGGAGATATGGCTGTACATCTGCTTTACTATCCACTAATACAGCCCAACAGGCTTTGGCGTAAGTGATATCACGCCTTGCCAACATGGCTGCATAGCGATCAATCGCTACGATGACTTCTGCCAATCCACAACCAATCACATTACGATGGGATACAGGAATACTACACGGTGAATAGGAAATGGGAGAGTCGTATATGAGATTGGTGGAATTATTATTCTTATTCTTCTCATTATGAATACTACTATCACACCCACTACTACTATTACTACTATTATTAGTATTGTTAGTATTATTAGTATTAGTAGTAGTACTGTTCATATTGGTGGAATCATGAAGTTTAGGATTAAAGCCTGGTGGTGTAGGGAGTTCAAGTTCCCCATCATCTGGTTGTTTAAACACATCTGTATACACATGCGGTAGATGAGTGTTGGTGATATCATTCATACGTTTTTCTCCTTCTTCAAGAAAATAAAATAATTTATCCACCCAGAGTGTAATGGTATCATCTATTACCGGTAATGCCCCAATAGGTGTAGGAACTGTCATCTCCATGTAATTTCTTTTCCCTTTATTTCTTTCTTGCTGCTGTTGTGGTTTCTCTCCTGTAGTAGTATTATTATTAGTATTAGTATTAGTAGTAATTAGGCTTTTATTTACTTTGCGTTTTCCTCCAGTGTGTGTGTAGATACACTCCGCAGTGGCATTGTGAAGAAATGGACGTCGCAGTGGAACACTCGGGGCACAATAGAGAAGAAACGGTACGGCGTGAAGAGAATCTCGCCAAACAACTGTACGCCATTGCCATAATGAATGCCGTTCTTCAAAAACAGGTGATAACATATATGAAGTCAGGCGGGTTCCAATATATGTGGAAGAGAGAGAAGAAGAGGAGTTATTGGGATGATCACAGGAGGAAATACCACTATCCACTAGTTTTTGTTTTTCTTGTTCTTCTTCTTCTTCTTCTGGTTGTCTTGTTGGGATGGTCGTTGAGGAAGAGGAGGAGTAGTAACAGCAGAGATGTGAGAGTGTTGAAGAAGTATAATAATAATAAGAATAAGAATAAGAATAACAATTGTGTGGAGTAGCTCTGCGTATGGGATTTCTGTAAAGCCGCATTTGATTCTCTAAATACTTTTTTTTTTTTTTTCTTACCTTTTCCCTTTTGTTTCTTTTTTCCTTCTTAGCGAGTCTGTCTGTTTGTCTATCTATCTATCTATCTATATTATTATGATTATTATGTAATTTAATGGGTTGGGGTATCGCAAGAGAAGAAGACCACCACCACCATTAATGGGAAAGAAATAAAAGAAAAATGAAAGAAAGAGAAATATAATTTAATAAATAAAATCATATTATTTATCACCTTATATCTTTTCTTTTTATACACATTCGTTTTTATTTATTTTTCTTTTTTTTTTCTTGTATCATTGCATACACACTATATATATATAAATATACAGCACAAGTAAAATAACATCAGCAATCTTGGTATATTTAATGACGGAGTACACGTCAATGCAAACAAGGTCGACATTTAGGAATACTTTACACCTGTACTGTTTCCTCATAGTAATAGCAATAGTAACAGTAATAGTAATAGCAATAATCATAGTAACAACAATAGTAATAGTAACAGCAAAGCAGTTAATAGGAATAGTAATAGTAATAGTAGGAAGAACAATATGTATCCATAGATCTTCTGACCTATCATTCTCTCTCTCTCTCTCTCT